AGCCACCTTCCCAGCCCAGAGAACAGTTTTTTGAGAAGTGCTGCCTTAGATAAATCAGTGAGTCCGGATCAAATGGTATAATAAAAGATGTGGACAAATGGCAACTCCTTTGTTAGCTACCAGATAATAAAAATGTAATTAAAAAAAAAGATGTTCAAAATGTAGGACATGGTGATATATCTTGTAATTCCACAACTAGGAAAGTGTAGGCAGGAACATAGTGAATTTGAGGCTAGCCTAGGCTACATACCTAATGAGACCTTATTTTAAAACAACAAGAATACCCTTAACAAAATGGTATGCAAACTGCATGCACAACTTAAGGTGACAAGAAGTCCTTCCAGAAGTTACAACTTGAATCCAAGGACAACACTCAAGAGGCAGCCCACCTCATGCTCTGGGAGTATAAGGTAAAAAAAAAAAAAATACCAGAGCTAGGAGCTGGTGGCTCATGCCTATAATCCTAGCTACTCAGGAGGATCTGAGGACTGTGGCTCAAAGCCAGCCTGGGTAAGAAAGTCAGTGAGACTCTTATCTCTAATTCACCACCAGAAAACCGAAGAAGCACTGTGGTTCAAAGCGGTAGAGCATTAGCAGCACTAGCCTTGAACGGAAAAAAAAAAAAAAAAAAAAGCTCAGGGAAAGCACCCTGGCCCTGAGCTTAAGACCTATGACTGATTCCTACTCCCCACTCCCCCTCAAAAAATCCCAGATTAAGCCCACTGAGCAGGTCTGGGGTTAAAAAGTGAAAACAGGTCTTTTTCATGCCTCTCATTTGAAACCTTCTTGGATCCAAGACAGAAACTGGTCCCAACATTTCAATAATTCTCTTTTGTGGCAAAACTGCTAGGATACTGATGAGAAATCAATCAAGTCACTTGTCTATAACCCAAATCTAACTTTGCAAAATCATGGGCCCTCATATTTTTCATTTCATAGTTTCTTCTAATATCCTAATTTATCATACCCACTACAAAGGTAGATCTGTATACTAATTTTCTTCTTTTTTTTTTTTGGGGGGGGGTGGGGTCGGTCGTGGGGCCTGAACTCTGGGCCTGGGCGCTGTCCCTCAGCTCTTTAGCTCAAGGCTAGCACTCTACCACTTGAGCCACAGTGCCACTTCCGGCTTTTTTTCTTTTTGCTTATGTGGTGCTGAGGAATCAAACCCAGGGCCTCATGCATGCAAGGCAAGCACTCTACCACTAAGCCACCTTGCCAGCCCTCTTCATTTTTCTCTTCATTTTTTCTTTTTTTGTTGTTGTTGTTTGTTTTTGGGTCTGGTCGTGAGACTTAAACTCTGGCTCTGGGCCTGGGTGCTGTCCCTCAGCTCTTCAGCTCAAGGCTAGCACTCTACCACTTGAGCCACAGCACCACTTCCGGCTTTTTTCTTTTTGCTTATGTGGTGCTAAGGAATTGAACTCAGGGCCTCAGGCATGCAAGGCAAGTGCTATACCACTGAGCCACCTTCCCAGCCCCTCTCTTCATATTCTTTATTTCATTAAAATCCCAAACTGTTCTAAAATTTCTTCCTTCCTCCATTCCTCCCCTCCCTTTTGTGTGTGTGTGCGCGTGCGTGTGCGTGTGTGTGTGTGTGTGTGTGTTGCTACTGGGGCTTAAACTCAGCACTTGGGTGTGGTCCTGGGATTTTTTGCTCAAGACTGGAGCTCTACCACTTGAGCCACAGCTCAATTTCTGGCTTTTGCTGACTGATAGTAGATAAAGAGGAGAACAACAATCCTCAGATCTGTTTCCTAAGTAGCTAGAATTACAGGAGTGATCCACTGCCAACTGGCTCAAAATACCATGAAAATAGGCAAGACATAAAGGAGCTGGAGGCATGGCAACAAGTGGTGGAGCACCTGCCTACCAAGATGAGGCCCTCAGTTCAGTCTTCTGTTTGCCTATAATGTTTTGGCAGAAAACTGCAGTTTCAGAAGCAGATAAGAACTTTATCCAGTGGGTGGCGTACTGTGTACTGAAAATTATTTATGAAATGGCACATCACTTCTTAAATCCTTTTATGTGCTAATCATAAGAATTTATATATAGTGTTTTCAGAAATTTAAAGAAAATCACCACTGTATTAGAAAATCTTTTGTATCTCTTCATATTTCACAGCTGACTGAAAATCATAAACAATGCTAATTATGATAATAAATACACTCCGTATAACCCATATATATATATATATACTTTATCTAAAATAACTTTTTCCCATTTTTCCCTCTCAGTGGAATACTGTTTGTAGTTTTAATTGGGGAGTTTTCAGTTGTCATGGTTTGATCAAAGAGCACCAAAAAAAAAAAAATATATATATATATATATTAAGACTACATTGAGTCAAATAACACAGTATTTCTTCCCCACCCCCCCCACCCCAAATCTATTAATAAATGAGTACCTTGTTAAAAGAAACTGGGAATTCTGGAGAGACTGCTGACTGCTTTCTGTATTTGCTGTGTTGGTTGTTGCTGAGGACTGTGTGATTGTAGTGGTGACACTGCTTGTGTTAGTGCGCCGGGTCGCATTGCGAGCGGTCTCCAGTTGTTGTCGTGCTGCCTGGGCGTGCTGCCGTTCTAGCTGCAGCTGCATCTGCAGTTGTTGTAACTGAGAAGCGGAAGGGCCAGAAGAATTAAGCTGTCCTCCTGTAGAACGTCTCACTCCTGACAACTGAGATAAAAGCTCTGCCAATGGAAATGAAGACGATTAACACGGAGGCAAATAGAATGTTACAGATCATTCTTTCACTGGGAGAACACCAAAAGCATTGGGAATAGGTAAACAGAGCAATAAACAGTTCAGCTAAGGGCTCAATTCCTGCCTCTAACAGGCAGAAAATTCTGTTTATGAAGAGAGAAAATGCATGAATGCTAGCTGATATATAATTATTTCTGCTTAAAGCAAAACTTGAGTATTTTCTTTGGTGGCACTGAGGACTGCTAGACAAGTGCTCTCTATACATGAATCATCCTACCAGCCCTGCCTTTTTCTTTTTCTTGTCGGTCATGGGGCTTGAATTCTGGGCCTGAGTGCTGTCCCTCAGTGCTTCAGCTGAAGGCTAGCGCTCTACTACTTGAGCTACAGTGCCATTTCCGGTTTTCTGGTGGTTTATTGGAGATAAGAGTTTCCTGCCTGGGCTGGCTTTGAACTGCAATCCTCAGATCTCAGCCTCCTGAGTAGCTAGGATTATAGGCGTGAGCCACCAGCGCCTGGCCAGCCCTGCCTTTTGTTGATTATTTTGGAGATGAAATCAGTGAATATTTTCTACCAGGACTTGAACTCAGGACCTCATATTCTTGAGTCACATCTCCAGTTCAATATTTTGATAGTTAAATAAATGGTGTGGAGTTTTGCAGACTTTTCTGCCCAGACTGGCTTCAAATTGAGACCCTTCAGGTCTCAGCCTCCTGAGTAGCCAGTATTATGCAAGCATGAGCCATTAGTGCTTGGCTCAGGGATTTTTAAAAATCACTTACATATTATAAAAATTTATACTATCTCTTAGCAACACATTGAAGTGGTTGGTTTATAGGTCAAAATCATAATATAGACTCTCTCAATGTACAGTTTCATCAAAGCAAGGATCAAGCTTACTGCTTATTATAATCCTAGCTCTTAGGATTTCAATATTTATTAAATCAGAGAAAATTATGACAAATCCAAAATTCTGTCTCCTTTTATAACTGTGGCCCTTGCATATCTGCTTCTGTCATGTCTCTCTGGTACCTCTTGTTTCAGAGAACCAGAGTGCTACCAGCATTTCTCAGCAGGGATGGTCCTCAGAGCCTGAAGTATTGACCTTGTAGGCTATTAAGTGGGCAGTTATGATCCAGTGTTGTATTTCTGAGAGTTCACTCATCAAGAGCAATTGAATCTCTTTGTCCTTATGTTCTCATCTAAGAAAGATGCAATCATTGCTATCTCCTGAGAGGAGCATCTTACAGGCTAACTGATGACATACTTATGTTCCCAGGTCAGCAACAGCTCTGATTCACTATTAAAACTCACTAACAAGCTGATGCTGGTGGCTCACACTTGAAACCCTAGTCATTCAGAAGGTAGAAATCCAGAGTATTGTGGTTTAAAGACAGCTTGGGCAGAAAAGTATAAGACTTAAGTTTCCAGCTAACTAGCAAAAAGCTAAGCTGGAGGAATGGCTCAAGTGGTAGAGTGATGGCTTAACAAGCAAGCTGGGTAAATTTAAGGCTCTGAGTTCAAACCCCCCCAAAACAAAAAACAATACATACTACAACTTATTAATAGGGCTTGTTATTGCTTTCTTGCTCATCCCAGAGGTTTTTACAAAACTCTGTAATGGGATACACACTCACTATCCCCCCCAGCCCATTACTAAAATAAACAATTTTTCATTGATGGAAAAAAATGTAGTATTTCATTTATGAATTTTGCTTCTTGGGAACTGTAAAGAGCAGATAAGTCAGACCTTTTGGACAAATAAATACATTTACCTTTTTGCAATAACAGGGCTTGAACTCAGAGCCTCATGATCTAAGTCTCCTTTCTTGCTCATAGCTGACACTCTACCATTTAAGCCACACCTGAAGCCTGACTTTCTTGCTGGCTAACAGTCTTTGGACTTGTCTGCCTGGAATGGCTTCAAATCTTGAACCTCCAGGTCTCAGCCTTCTGATTACAGCTGTAAGCCCACTTGAGCTTAGCAAAGAAATACTCCCTAAATTCAGTTTATTGGTCTTGTTTTTATTTTTATTGTCACACTCAAATGTTCAGAGCACATTTGGGACTAAATTTTATATCATTTTTTTTTTCCTCGCCAATTCTGGGATTTGAACTCAGGGTCTAGGCACTGTCTCTTTTTGTGCTCAAGGGTAGGGCTCCACCACTTAAGCCACAGCACCACTTCTGGCTTTTTCTAAGAAGTTTATTGGAGGTAAGAGTCTCATGGACTTTTTTGCCTGTGCTGGCTTTGAACTGTGATACTCAGATCTCAGCCTCCTGAGTAGCTAGGATTACAGGTGTGAGCCACCAGCTCCAGCTTCATATATCATGTTTTAAATAATATTTTATGAGTAAAACTATTCTGAGCATCACAGACACTATTCGCAGGTATTCAGCAAGGTGCATCATGGGCACTAAATACAAATTCTGAACACATTTCAGAATTTACTTTAAAATTCGTGCACACTTCTAGAGATTATCACTTGTGTTATTAGAGAATCTTAAAAATTCTCAGGCTTCTGAGATGCTATATTTTGACCCAGGTTCTCAGGTTTGTCATACATTAGTCTCAGTAACATGGCTATGAAAAACAGGTCCAAATATATTTTTAAGTACTTAGGGATGGTTCAAATGATAGAGTGTCTGTTTTTCTTTGTTTTTTGTTTTGGGTCCGGTTGTGGGACCTGAATTCTGGGCCTGGGCGCTGTCCCTCAGCTCTTCAGCTCAAGGCTAGTGGTCTACCACTCAAGTCACAGCGCCACTTCCGGCTTTTTTCTTTTTTGCTTATGTGGTGCTGAGGAATTGAACCCAGGGCCTCAGGCATGCAAGGCAAGTGCTCTACCACTGAGCCACCTTCCTAGCCCTAGAGTGTTTGTTTATCAAGTAGAAGGCCCTTGGGTTTAATTTCCACTACCACCAAATATTGTGTTCAGATTTTCTCAGCTAATATATGACCCATCAGTATATGTTCCACAGCAAAACAGGACAAAGAGAAAGAAATTCCTTGTTCATTCCATGTAAAGAGCTCAAGTGTTTATGGTCTTGTCAATGAGCCTTTCTGTGTTCTGGTATTGAACCAAGAATGTACGAAGGTTTACTCTGAAGCCTTTTATGATTTTATTGTGCTTCAACAGAGGCCGTAAATACAAAATAAAGCTTTCTGTTTTATTTTAATTCTCTACTTAATTAAAATGCAAAACAATATGAACTTCCTTATATGGTCTATTTAAAAATAATTTTATAATTCTGAAATAATCTAAAATATTTTGTGAGGGAGCATAGGTACAAGAAAAGACTAAAACCACAAATCCATGAAAAACATTTTTAAAAGGCACTTTCTACCCCTGCCAATTCCTTAATGAAGTTGAAACAAACTTACCAGCGATAGGATCCATGGCTTCCCTATTGCTTGGAGAATATGAACTCTGAGAAGAAGAAAGTCCACCAGTAGAACTGCTAGTAAAGTGCATGTTTGATCTACGAGCACGAGGACCTCCTAATCCCCGGCCAGGGTGAAACATTCTACGTACATGTCGAACACCACTCGATTCATCATAATTTTAAGTTAAGAAAATGACCAACTATTTCACAAAGGGAAAAAAAATCATTTGAGCCATTGCTAGATAAGACATTTAGAACTCCTAAACTGTAAGCAGTTTAAAAAAGCCTAAGTAAATTAGAACAAATTTCCCAATTCTATCCATGGAGCCTATTAAACATAAAAAAGTTTCTCCCTCTGTGTGTGTGTGTGTGTGTGTGCGCGCGCATGTGTGTTCTCTATGGAATGGGAGAAGTTTCTTTCCAGGCTCTAGAGGAACAATGTCACGTAAGGTCAAAGGGGTCACTGGATACTCAAGGTGAACATTTTCCCATACCACCATCTCAGTATTTTCAAATGTTTACAACATGTAAATAATAATAATTGTCAATTTTTATATTTGATACCACAAGAAACTTTCTTGATGTAAAAAAATAGAACCATAAAAATAAATAAAAAAGGAAACCTTTTTTGTCTATAATAAAAAAGATTTCTGGGATGAAGAATGAACAAATGCAGGACTAGTACACAGTACATACTATATGGAAAATGAATTATGTAACTTGTGGACAGAGATGAGAAGGGGAAAAAAGAAGGGAGAGATGACATTGTACATAAAGAAATGTACTCATTACCTGACTTAGGAAACAGTAAGCCCTCTGTACAACATCTTGATAACAATAATTTTATATTAAAAAAATCAGATTTCTTGAGGGAAGGGAATGGAACAAAGGAGATAAAATTGGAATACAGAGTAAACATGGGTAGAAATTTAAGAGTGGACCCCTCCCCCAAATTAAAAAAAGAAATGAGCTGTCTTAAAAAAAAAACCCTATTTCTGGCAGCCTCATCCATCTTAAATAGCTGAGTATAGGTCAAACTGATGAAGGTCTTGAGTGGCAAATACCTGTCAAAACTATGAGGACAACCAGAAGACTGATAAATACAGAAACAGAAGTTCTGGAAACATTCCATTTCCCTCTGACACGAAAGGTCAGAAAACGTTTTTCAGTATGTTCTTTGTCCACTGGACATATCTGAGTGGAGGTGGTCGCCACCTTCTGCCTGTGTCTCCCTGTGAGTTGTGCTATCTTAGTGACTTAGTCTGCGGTGGCTCACTCTTGTCTGCCTCTCAGAACACACTACACTCTGTAGGGGCTAGGCCACAGGATCGGGTGAGAGGAGAGCAGACAATGTGATCTTGCTTCATTTCAAAGCCCCGTGAAAATGCCTTATATCTGTCCAGTGACATTCAAAAAGAAAAAACTAAACAAAACTATGAGGACAACCTTGTATTTTCCCATAGGAGTGGGGGAAAGACAGATACTGTTGAAAAAACTTCTTTCAAAGTAGCAAACAGAGCAGCTCTGTAGTAATTCAGATTGTTTTGCTGGCTTTTCAGTTTGTCAACTGATGTTGAAACTGATGGGGTCATTAAGGGGCAGGGTAAATGGCTCTACAAGCCCTTCAGGTGCCATGGCAATAAGCATGGTTTTATGGTGGTATTTAGTGCGGAGTGCATTTAAGGAGACATCCATCGAAACACGAATATATAGTTTGGTGCTCAGGTACCCACCCTCCAATAAACAAATTTACTATATGGTAACACTGGGGTACCTACAAAATGAACAAATTTTCAAGATAACTGTCATAGTAGTTTGCTTTCAGAATTTAATGGTAAGAATTTTTTTTTTTTGGTCTGTCATGGGGCTTGAACTCTGGGCTTGGGTGCTGTCCCTGCACTCTTCAGCTCAAGGTGAGCGCTCTACCACTTGAGCTACAGCGCCACTTCTGGTTTTCTAGTGGTTTATTGGAGATAAGAGTCTCACAAACTTACCTGCCTGGGCTGGCTTTGAACCGTGATCCTCAAATCTCAGCCTCCTGAATAGCTAGGATTACAGGCGTGAGCCACCAGCACCTAGCAAGAATTTTTATAAAACGTCTTTTTTTCTTACATTTTTCATAATTTAATCATGATGACTAGAGATATTTGTAAAAGTCTTGTGAAAGGGGACACAGATGATAATATCCTGAATAGGCCCTAGAATTTGCTGAAAAATTCAGGATATCAGCCTGTTTTTCAATTATTTGCTTAGTTTCTCCATGAAGATGGAATGATGAGTGGACAAGGATAACCCTTCTGGGAATTATTAAAGATTCTTTTTTTGTGTGTGGGATTGAGCCTGGGTACTGTGCAGGTAGGCTAGTGCTCTATCATTTGAGCCACAGCTCCACTTCTGGCTTTATCTAATATTATAGGTGTGAGCCATCAGCGCCCAGCAAAGATTCTTTAATAGATAATGAACTGGTACTTAAAAGTGGTAAGCATTTGAATGCTTCCATTCTGTTTTCTTTGTAGTTTCTCAGTGTCCCATTAACATAGAGAGGGAGGGCTTCACTGGTTCCTTCTGTTCACTGACTGCCAGCCTCTGGACTGTCTTAGGTCTCCTTATTACTCAGGTTGGTTCTATTTTTCATCTTTTATCTTCAGTTTCTACTTACCCTCATTTACAAGAGCCACATTTCCAACTAGAAAATTATAAACTGTGAGGGAGGACGGGAGTTGCAGAAAGAGAAAACCGCAAGCTTGTTGGGCATGGTGGTACAGGCCTATAATTTCACCTACTTAGGAGGTGGAGGCAGGAGGATTTTGAGTTTGAGGCCAGAATGGGCAAAAGTAATGTTGAGACCCTGGACTAAAAAAAAGGATGAGGGCATAGCTCAAGTGGTAGAGAGCTTGCCTACTTATGCATAGGCTCTAGTGAACTTCCAGTGCTGGGAAAGATACACTTACACGCCTACCCACCATACACAAATACAAAACACCAACAGGTCTAAAGTGGTGTTATGATGGCCAATAGGTAATTAAAGGAATCAGAAAAATGTTGAGCAAAGAGAAAAGTCTTGGTTAACTCTGAAGTGCTTCAATAAAACTGAAACTTTCACAGGAGAACAGAACCTTAAATTTCAAAAAGATAAAATAATAGCCTGAAAGTCTGCAGAAGTACCAAATCTTCAAAATAACTACTCTAGTAGGTAAGTAATCTCAGGAAACAGAACCAGGAACTATTAAGAGATGGGGGAAAAGACCAAGAAATAAAAGCAGGAAAGAAACTCACTGATCTCCTCATCTCCCAATAAGATACAGAAGTGAAACAAGTAAAGCTTCCTTCTATTTAAAAATTCAGTTTTAATTTGGATTAACCTTATCCTCTTTTTCATGAAAACATCTTCTTGAAAGCCTTATGGTTGTTCAAACTGTCTTGCTCACACCTTTATTCCTAGCTACTCAGGAGGCTAAGATCTGAGGATCACAGTTCAAAGCCAGCCTAGGCAGGAGAGTCTGTCTGTGAGACTTACCTGTAATTAACCACCAGAAAACTGGAAATGTGTGCTCGTCTTGAGCTGAAGAGCTGTGGGACAGTGCCCAGGCCCAGAGTTCAAGCCCCATGACACACACATACAGACACACACATAGACACAGACACACACACACACACAGAGACACAGACACAGACAGACACAGACACACACACACACACACACACAGACACACACACAGTGAGTCACTGGCTGGGTGTTGGTGGTTCATGCCTGTAATCCTAGCTACTAAGGTGCTGAGATCTGAAGATCGAGGTTTGAAGCAAGCCTAAGTAGGAAAGTCGATGAGACTCTTATCTCCATTAACCACCAGAAAACTGGTGCTGTGGCTCAAAGTGGTAGAGCACTAGCTTTGAGCAAAAAGAGCTCAGGGACAGTGCCCAGGTCCTGAGTTCAAGCCCAACTGACCAAACCAAACCAAACCCAAACAATCAAAATGCTGGGCACGCCAGGCACCAGTGGCTCATGCCTGTAATCCTAGCTACTCAGGAGGCTGAAATCTAAGGATTGTGGTTCAAAGCCAGCCCAGGCACAAAAGTCCATGAAACTAATCTCCAATAAACCACCAGAAAAACCTAAAGTGACACTGTGGCTAAAGCTGTAGAGCGCTTGTCTTGAGCTCAAGAGCTGAGGGACAGCACCCATGCCCAGAGTTCATGACAGACCAAAAAAAAAAAAACTGGCTCAAGTGGTTCATGTCTATAATCCTAGCTACTCAAGAGGCTAAGATCTGAGGTACAGGGTTTGAAGCCAGCCCAGGTAGGAAAGTTCATGAGATTCTTATCTCCAATTAAATACCAAAAAAAGGGTGGGAAATGTAGCTTAATGGTAGAGTGCTTGCCTAGCATGCATGAAGCCCTGTGTTCCATTCCTCAGTACCACATAAGCAGAAAAAGCTGTAAGTTAGCCTGAGGCTGGTGGCTCTCAGCTGTAATCCTAGCTACTCAGGAGGATGAGATCTGAGGATCACGGTTCAAAGCCAGTCCGGGCAGGAAAGTCCTTGAGACTCTTATCTCCAATAAACCACTAGAAAACTGGAAGTGGCGCTGTGGCTCAAGCGGTAGAGCACTCGCCTTGAGCCCAAGCCCAGAATTCA